ATATGTCAAATTTATTTGTTTATGTGGGTATTTTTTTCAATAATAAGAAAATTGTTCAGAAAATATTCAAATTCGGGTGATTTCAAAATGCATATTGCAAAGTATACGTCTGAAAAATCTACAGGTTTTGCAGCGAATAAACCTTTAGAGATATATAGAACATGATTTTGAAAAGAAATTTTGACCTTTCATTCAATTTTCACGGTTTTCAATTATTTATTCCAAATTAATGCAACAAGTCGTTTGGTTTTTTTATTGTTTTGATAGTAATTTTGACATTACAAACCAAAGAGGTGGACTTGCAATTTTTTCAAAGTTAGCTTACCTTGTCTTCATTGCACCGAATATCGGAAGGTACCGTTATATGGCGGATATACGATATCGTGGAACCATAAAGACAATACTCTTCCAGGGGGTGAAGTATTCAGAAGAACTCCTGGTGTGGATTTTCAGAAAATGCTATTAAATAATTGGCTACAATCGTCAAAATACCGAATATGGGGAAGTAACGTTACATCGTATATATACGAAATAGTGGACCTAAATAGACAATTCCCTTACAGGCGGTGAATTACCCACAAAGTACTCCTTACGTAGAACTTCAGGCAATTCCATTGAAAAATGTGGCTAAAATCCAAAATCCCGAATATCGGGAGGTATCGTTATATGTATATATATAATGGACCGATATAGTCCATCTTCGAACCTGACCTGCCTTCACACAAAAGACTGATCGCTGCAAAAGTTTAGCTCCCTATCTTAATTCGTTTTGACTCTAGCTTAATTACAACAGACGGACTGGCGGACATGGCTAAATCGTCTTAGAATTTTAGGCTGATCAAGAATATATATACTTTGTTAAGTCTAAAATTATTATTTCTATTGCAAAATGTGGCTAGAAAAAATCATTAAAATACCGAATTTCGGGGGTACCGTTATATGCGGGATTTACGACATCGTGGACCGATATAGCCCATCTTCGAACTTGATCTGCCTACAGACAGAAGACTTCTGTGTGCAAAATTTTAGCTTCCTATCTTAATTCGTTGTGACTGCAACATACGGACGGACGTCTGAATTTTAAAATTTTATGCTGATCAAGATTATATATACTTTGGTAGTTGTAAAATTTTTTATTTCGATAAGTTACAAACTGAATTATGAACTTAAAATACAATCCAACTATCTATGGTGAAGGGTATAAAAAAATATTCATAATACGCCAATGTTTTCGCTATATTCAAAATATACATAGAGTTAAAAATATGGCGAAGATAGTCATTATTAGAGCGGATGGTTTTGCGGTGAGTTAAAAATATGGTAAAGATAGTCATTATTTAAAACAGATGGTTTTGCGGTGAGTGTAATTTGATCTAGTTTTCTATATTTTGTTCGAATTTGTTTTTGTTGAATTATTAAATAGGTTCCATTCGAATTCTAATCCATCCAATGACTAGTGAGATAGATACTAAGATTTCTTCAATACTTTCGGTCTTATTACCAAGTTCTGTCAAAACAATAAACTTAGCATTACCTGTGGAGAAGCAGAACATTTTATGATAATAAGCTTTGTGAGAAATCAACAAAATGCATGCAGAGATTCAAACCATAAGAACAGTAGAAAAATCGTTCTTATAGGTTATTCGCAATGTAGTAAAATACGACGATGTAAGCTCAGACATATAAATAGCTCATTACTCAAATATCGATATCTATTATAATCAATTTCTTAAATTTTGCATTCCACCAAACATAGTATTCTTGATCAGCGTAGAATTCTAAGGTGTATTAAATATGTCCGTCTGTTGTAATCATGCTAGAGTCCAAAGGACTAGTGATAGAAAGGTGGGAGTTTGCAGAGAAATGTCTTTCTTCTCCAGACTGGTTACGTTTTAGGGAATTTAGCCACATTTTGCAACGTAGTTGTTTAAAATTTGGTGTTTAGAATTAGTAACAAGTTCTAACTCCTGTGCAACAACATTGTCTATATAGGTCCATGGTTTCCTATTGCTCCCATATAAGGGAGCCATATTTTCTAACGGACTTGTTTACATTCTGGTCGAGGGTATTAAAGAACTTAAGGATTTTTACTTCCTTTTTCTTTCCTTGATCAATGTATTCAATATTCTACCATGGAACATTAAAAGTTACCAAAAAATACATTGAACAGCAAAATTTGATAAAAATGCATAAACCTAAAGTAATTTCATTGCAAGAAACACATTTTAAACCGGTTATAAGAAAATGAGAACATATATAGACAACGTTCTGATAAAGGAGGTAGAACTCATATCGAACTCTTAGTATCGAATTTTAAACAATTCCGTTAGAAAATCCCAAAAATGTTGAATATGTGGAGGTACATATACAATGTTCAACCACTAGATCTAAAACCCATTACGAACTACAAATTCAAAATTTTAGGCAAATTCGTTAGAAAAAAACATCGAATATCAAAAATACCGTTATATTGGTGCTATAGTAAAACGTCGACCTATACCGACTAGTTTCTGCTACCAGGGTTAGAACCCGTTATAGAAAAGGGGATAAATCATCAAAATATCAGGATTTACAGTCATATGTACGCTATAATAAAACGTGGACCTATATAGACAATTTTCCGCCAGTAGACGTAGAACCCGATACAAACCCTCAATACCAAATTTAGAACAATTCCATGGAAAAAAAACTAAAATCATCAATATCATACCAACCATCCTAGACACAAATTTTAAAGCTCTACGTCAAATTATGTGGACTGTATCGCGATTTCAACAGACAGACAGTCGGGTATCGTTAAATCGATACAGAATGTTATGCTAATAATGATTATATATATTTCATGGGGTCTACGAAGAATACGTTATTATTTAGTAGATTTCAAGATATGCATGCATGATATGGGTAATACGGACCTACAAAACATGTTACCATAATAGACGTACAAAACATTTTGTCATTGTAGGAAGGTTGTATATTTTTGTACGCTACGTCGAATTTTAGGTAACGCTGTTGCTAAACATTTTTTCTGCTATTCTAAGAAAAATGTACTTCTAATATAATAACACAATAAATCTCAGTAATAATAAATTTATATGTTACAAAATCGCTAATATGAATCACAAAAACTTGAAATTATAAAATTTCAAAACTATATACATAAACAAAAAACATTATTCTTACTTAATGATTGATATGATTTTTTGTTAATATGCAGTTTCTTCCTAAATTAGTGGTGAGTTACTTTCCTTTGACTGCAGGAAAAATTATGATTTATTAACGATTTACCAACTGTAATACACACTATGTGAATGACGTGAAAATAGTTAAGCTCAAATTGCAATTAAACATTTATTTTATTATTTTTAACAATGATGTGAAATTAAGAATTTTTTGTTCCTCATATTACTGAGAAACCATACATTTCCTTTGTGCGTTCCTATTTGGAATAATTAGTATCAGTACAGCAATATGGGCACCCATCGTAAAAATGTCAATATAGTTCCATATTTTGGTATAGCCGACACAGCTGTAATTTAGAATTTTCATTATTTTTCGGAACTATAAATTTTCTACCGAAGTGCCTGTAGTTTGATATATTGAGGTACCAATGTCTACTCTTAAGAATAGCAACTTGTAACGACATATCTCCATTATTAGGTTTGTAAAGTTCATAGAGAAATGTTCTAATTCTACTCAAATTCAAAACATTGTTGTTAGAAGAATGTCCCGCAAGATATGCAGTTATGTCCATTTAATGTTTGAGGGTATGTTTCGGAGAGGCCAAATTTAACGCTTATCTATAATCTCTACGCGACGGAGGTATAATTTGCTCATTAAATTTGTAACACCTCAAAACATTTGTTGGGGTCCTGGTCAAAGTAAAACTAATATCGTCAGGGAGGTACCGCTATGTTAGAGCCATAAGAAAAATTAAGCGAAATACACAATACTCTGCCCAGGAGGACAAAACTTTGAATAACTCCTTTTCAAAAAAAATGCAGGTAAAATATGCCAAAATAGCTACAGCTCTCTCCTTCAAGACGTTTCTGAGTAAATCTTACTGAGAAAGTAACCAGATATAACTAAAGTTCAAACAATTCATTTTTAAGCAAAAATATAAAGTAAACTGAATAGAAGATGTATTTCTTAAGAAATAGATACCTTCTCAGGAAAATCGTTTTGAAAACCGTAATTTTTTCAGATATTTTAGTCGTAAAATAATTGCTGACCACATAACTTGGAACTCTTATGGACGCCCATCGTAAAATGTCAATATAGTTCTATATTTTGGTGTAGGTCCTATAAATTGATCCCGGTTTATTTTTCTAGACATATTTGACAACCGAAACAGCTGTAATTTAATATTTATGGTTCCTAAAGGTCCAGATGTGGCAAAGGTTTCATATTTCGGTACTACCGATTTTAAGTATTTCTAAACGAAGTGCCTGTAATTTGATATTTTGAGGTCTGAATATATAGCAACATTCCCCCAAAAAATATTTACGTTTCGGTACATTTCAAGTGGTTGAAGGATCTAATCACAGCTACCAACCAAAGTTCACATTTTCTAGGCTATTGGTCACTAAATTTCCATTAGTGCGGGTATGTCTCCAGCTACTTGACCCAGTTTTTCTAAATTTTATGGAGCTTGATCTAACAAACACTATAAATTCACTTGTCATTTTTACCATGAGACCATTCCTAAGCTCTTGATGCATAAGCGTAGTACTAACATCACCGTCTTATATATGTATATACAATTCTTACTTGATTTGGAGACATGTAAAGAGTAAACAGTAATATTTTTCAGATCAACATTTGTATAAAACTGTGATCTTAATATTTTCAAATTTAAAAATTGCAAATTTAGTATAAAAACTTACGCGAAGTTTGAGAGTTGTGCCTAGTAGAATATATTTTAAATGAGCCAAAAACTCTTAAACAATACAAAATTTTAATTTTAGTGGCTAGCAAAATAAAAGACTTAGAGCACAAACCCGTTCTTCCAGCTCCCTTCCACTATGAAAGATAAATTGTTATAGTTGTGTACACATTGTAGAACACGTAAGTAAAATTTTACCATAGACTAACAGTAAGTTTATAGTTTTGACGTTGTATATTGATTTATAGATGTACTCATGGTACAATGAAGAGAAGGTAGGTCAACTTTGAAAAAATTGCAAGTATAGAGGTCTACCTGTTTGGCTTGTAATGTCAGAATTAGTATCAAAACAATAAAAAATCAAACAACTTGTTGCATTGATTTTGAATAAATAATTTAAAACCGCGAAAACTGAATGAATGTTCAAAATTTCTTTTCAATATCATGTTCTATATATCTCTTATGGTTTCTTTCGCGACAAAAACTGTAGATTTTGTCGATGCATTCGTTGCAATAAGCATTTTGAAAACACCCGAATTTGAATATTTTCTGAACAATTTTTTATTATTGAAAAGAAGACACACATATAAGGAAATGAAGTTGACATATTAAGCCAGAAAAATAAAAAAATTTAAATCATATGGTAGTTCTGCCCTACCTTGAATCCATTGTACCATGGATGTACTGAAGTGTTATCGCATATACATGGTAGAAGAATACAGGTAGACACATTGACGAAGCTGCTAGGACAATGAATTGTCTGGAATTGAAATTTTGGAATAAAAAATATTAAAATTAGTAAAAGTCCTATAAGAAAATATATTAACATCTACTTATATTTGCAAAAACATTTTAAATTTTTTGACATATCAATGTTCCCAAGCATGTACCTGTATGCTTCTACCATGACGCATATGAAATTAGTTTGTTTTTTGCCGAATTATTTCAAGAATTCTCGTGTTTGCATTTAGTGGTCATTTAAATAAAGTTGCAAAATATTGCAGGAGAGACGGTAGTGTCTTTAAGTTGCAGTTTTCTTACAATTCTTTTCTCATATTAAATAAAAATTAAGATTACAATTCTTGTCACTTGTGTAAAAAAACTTACTGGTCATAGGAGTTATTTCTGAAATACCTCCTGGGGAGAATATACTAGACAAAAACCAATGGAACTGATGAGGGTAGCTGGCTCTTTCCGAAACCTTGGTATTCCTTGCCTAACCCAAGGGTCGGGTACAATTATTACAGGTATCAGCAAACCCCAGCTGAGTTGACTCAACAGTAATGCTAGTGTCAAACTCGATATGACGTTTTGTGATTCGATTTTATTTCTAGATATACAATAGGTATACATTTTTGATATAAAATTTCACTGCAAGGCAAAGTAAACATATTTTTTTCCATATTAAAAAATTCCCTTGTATTTAACAAAACGCCAACGGCGATGGTGCGAATTTCGCGATTAAGGAACCTCGACACTACATAAGATAATAAAATAACAATAAAATGTTTCCGAAATGTAGAATACTATATAAAGGGTGAGATCACTGCTGTCATTTCTAAGCCACTCGTCCTACAACTGTTAAAATTATTCCACTGACAGCACATTTTATTGTTTACAAGAGTACAAAAGCATATTGATGAGAATTTTCCAGAAAAAAGTTATTCGTGATGGAATTCAAGCGTGTCCTCATACCCATATATTGAGACGGGTGGAGTTGAAAACAAGTAAAAAAGCAGTAAGTTCGGCCGGGCCGAACTTTGAATACCCTCCACCATTTGGAACGAATTAGAAAATTTTCAAAAAAATTAAATCCAATAAAAATTATTTTAAAATCTTTAAAATATCTAATATAGGAAGGTGCCGATATATGGGGGGATATACGATATTGTGGACCTATAAAGACAAATCTATGTCTGTGTGTAAAGTACTCACAAGAAACTCACGGAAAAAGTGGCTAAAATCATCAAAATACCGAATATAGAGGAGTACCGTTATATGGGGGCTATACGATATTGTGGACCTGTATAGAAAATTCTCTCCCAGGGGGTAAATTACCCACAAGAAACTACTTGTGTGGATTTTCAGACAATTCCATTGAAAAATGTGGCTAACATCATCAAAATACTGAATATCGGGGGTACCGTTATATGGGGGCTGTACGATATCGTGGACCGATATAGCCCATCTTCGAACTTGACCTGCCTGCAGACAAAAGAGAGATCTGTGCAAAATTTTAGCTTCCTATCTTAATTCGTTTAGACTGTAGCGTGATTACAACAGACGGACAGAAGGACGTACATGGCTAAATCGTCTTAGAATTTTACGCTGATCAAGAATATATATACCTTGTTGGGTCTAAAATGATTATTTCGATGAGTTACAAATGGAATGACGAACTTAATATACCCCCATACCTTTTTTGGTGGAGGGTATAAAAAGTTCGCTCTGTTCTAGCTCAATCTTTGAGTTAGTTGTCTCCACGTCCTCTTCATCTTGTTCGATTACCGATTCTTGTTGTTCGTCGGTGACGATGCTCGAACCAGCTCCGTAGCTATTCGGACGATTCACAGAGTTTTCCTTACTGTTGACCGGTGTGCGACGACTTCATGCGTCAATATCATTTATCACGAAGTTGATCAATATGTCATCTATAATACTTCCCCTGGAACAGAATTTGATAGTGGACATCTCCCAAACGTTTGGTCACTTTGCCTTTAAGCCATTTCCTAATGCGTGGATTTCCGGACAGAAAGTACACGTTTTGATCCTTCTCCAATTCCCTGTATTTACAGCTGCTCTTCATGAACTGATTGGCTGTTACTTTACTACTAGTTTCTTGTGGGCGCACTAGATCTGAACGTGTTCGTAACTGTCGTCCTAGGAACAACTGTGCTGGGGAGTGACCCGTACTCGAATGACACATAGCCTTAAATGCATTCTTCACCCTTTGGACACTTCGCTCTGCTTGGTGATCTGTGCCAATGATGATCTGTGCACTTTTTCGGTACATTTGTATACTTTGCACATTTCTCGCATTCCCTCGCAGTGCTCTCAATGTTTTTGTCAATGCCCGGGCAGTAAACGAAGGACCGGGCTATGCCTTTCATCTTAACCCTCCCTAGATGGGCGCCATGCAAAACCTTTATTAAATCGCCCCGAAATTTAGGAGGGATTACAATTCGGTGTTCAAACATTAAACACCCTGACGACACTTTCCAACAACTTTGTAATCTTACCAAGATGTGGATCCTTTCTCGTTTCCAGCGCAATTCGTTCAGCAGTCACCGGTAATTGATTAATTTGGCGAATCACGAAACAGTCGAATTCATCAAGTTCATTACATATGGCCTTATCAAAACTGAGCTTGTTCACTTTGTTGGCTGGAGTTACTCGAGAAAAAGAATCGGCATTACTGTTTTCTTTCGAGGTTTTGTGGACCAATTCAAAATCGAAAATGGGATATGCATAAAACAGGCAGCGTATTACTCGGATGTAGGATTTGTACCAGCGGTTTGTGGTCAGTAATCAGAATTTGGCGAATCACGAAACAGTCGAATTCATCAAGTTCATTACATATGGGCTTATCAAAATTGAGCTTGTTCATTATGTTGGCTGGAGTTACTCGAGAAAAAAAAATCGGCATTACTGTTATCTATCGAGGTTTTGTGGACCAATTCAAAATCGAAATGAAAAAGGAAATCGGCGTAGTTTGCCATATGGAATATGCATAAAACAGGCAGCGTCTTACGCGGATGTAGGATTTGTACCAGCGGTTTGTGGTCAGTAATCAGAGTCGGGCATACAGGTACTTGAAAAACTTTTGGATGGCCCACACTATGGCCAGCGCCTCTTTATCGATTTGTGGATATCGTTGCTCCGTCGCGTTCATGGTGCGGCTCGCATAAGCAATTGGATATTTTTGTCCATTAGGAAGACGATGCGACAGAACAGCCCCCAGTCCCAGTCCCGTTTTACTGGCAAGTAGAATAGGCAATGCTGGATCGTACGGGATCGGCTCATGCGAAGATATCAACAGTTGCTTAATTTTGGTATATGCCGCATCTGTATTTTTATTCCAATAGAAAGTTCCTTTTTTCAAAACGTCCCGAAGTGTCCTCTCAAGTGTAGACAGGTTTGGTATGAAATTCGAATAATACGACGCCTTTCCCAAAAATAATTGTAACTCCTCCAACGTTCGTGGTTTTGTCGCATGCATAATCGCTTTAATGTGTTTGTTGGATTTATGAATTCCTTTGGCGTCGATTTTGTGACCTAGAAATTCAATCGATGATGTCACAAATACGCACTTCTTTTTGTTTAACTTAAATCCAAATTCCTTTAACTTGCATAATGCAGTCTCAAGAACTTTCAACAGATCATCAACGTCTGTTGCAAGCACCAGAATATCGTTGAAAAATTAAGAATATTAGGAATGCCATGTATAGCCATTTCCATCGTTCTTTGCCAAATGGCCGTAATGTTGGCGGTTTCATAAACTGCTCGAGTTGGGCGTATTAGTCCATGTGTTGGAGTATTCAGCGTCAGGACATGGGCAAATTCCTCGTCAAGGACGAAGTGTAAATACGAGTCAGTAATATCCAAATGGGAAATACCGTTGAGCCTTTCATCCTGTTGAATTGGGTTTTCGTCTATTACAATTTGCGAATTTACGGTTGGTTTGTAGTTACCCGTAATACGTATACCTCCATTCTTCTTCGTCACTACATGTGTAGTAGATGCCCATTCCGAATACTCTACTCTTTCGTAAAATCCCGCCGCAATCTTAGCATATATTTCTTTGGAATAAACATCCAGTAATGCGAATGGGATTTCTCAGTGTCTTGTAAATTCTGGCGTAGCATCTTGCTCTTGGAACAATTCAGCAAAATTTATTTCTCGAACAAAATGTGCGATCCACTCATGATCAATTAATGTATCAAAATCGCCATTAACTACGCGTAAGTTCAGCCTACGACTGGTTCTGTCCAAAGACACATTCACCACTGTACGTCCTATGCACGCAATCTTGTGCCCGGTATAACTTGAAAATCACCGGTCCGCTTTCTTTAACACTGGTGACTGCTTTATGTTCTTTAAAATCTCCAAGCTAATAATACAGCAATGAGCACCCGTATCTCGTTCCATATCCACTTTCTGGCCGTCTATCTTCATTGTGACCATTTTCCGATCGAATGACAACAACGACTCCTCTCTATGCTTTGTATTTGACA